AACTATGATGTTTCTCGATGTCCATTTAGAAATAATGTCGAAGCTCTTACAGAATAATTACTACAACATTTGAAGTACGAAAAGTATTACATTAGAAGAAGATTAGATTAGAATAAGGATTCCACGTATTTTTAAAAGCTCTACACACAACGAAGTGAATATACAAAACTATATACAAATACCTTTTTCTTCTGTGTTTCTGAAGAAAATTGTAAGTCAAATGAAACCTTGCTATTCAAAACCTATTCTTCATGATCGCAAGACACTATTTTCTATTTAAAAGACATCTGCTAAAATTTTAATAAATAGATATTATTTATGATAGAAATGATTTTATTTATGATAAAAATGATTTATAAATTTTACTTAATACACACCCGTTTCGAGCAACAAGGCAAAGTTTTCTGATCAATAACTTACTCCCTGAAAATACGGTATAACACAAATCGGAAGTTGATACGAAAATTCGAAATTTTACTAAAGAAAGATTGGAGGTTTTTAATTTATACAATTTTCACAACTCTTATTTCAATTATTTATTCTACCCATCGAAAGTTTTTTGAGAGCAGGCCGCCATGTTATTTTTCTGAGTCATTAACAAATTGGTACTCTGGAATTACGAGCAATTATTTTTCATTGTACGGGCTAGTATGAATTTCAAATCAAATCTCTATAAACGACTATTATATTTTGTGCACTAAGAATAACATATCGCACTTATTTTCTAGAATCAAATTGTAATCAGTTTTACTTATATGTATGTATATTCAATGTGAACTTGCACCTTGAATAAAATATCACAGTTACTTTTCATGGTAATATATTATTACTAAATTTAGATAATATACACTTTACGTATGTTCACTTTGAACTGGCACCTTGAATAACATATCAGTTACTTTTCGTGATAATTTATTATTAGATCGTTTAAATTTTTGAGTACCTTCTTTTGAACATGGCCTGACCTTTTCATTTTTATGATTTTTTTAGGATATCACTTACTTTTTAAAGTACAGATATATAGAGCAGCTTTTTAGTAATTCAAGTATTATAAATATATGTATTTTCGATTCTTATCACATAACTTTGTATAAGTAACAATTTATGCAATACGGTTCAAAATAATTGAAATATATGGTATATATGTACATATATAAAATATATAATTATATTATAGTATACATATATATTTTATTTAATCATATATGTAAATGTTTGTATAATTGTAATAACTTTTAACGATACGTTGCACATTTATTTCAATTGCAACAGAATGAATTTATATTATTGTATGAATATTGAAAATAAAGAATGGGCCCCTCCATCGCCCATTCTCGTGAGAACGCAACCATATATTTTTCTTCGTCTCTCCGATTTTAACACGACATACATATTTCTGTCTGATAATTTTTTTCTTCATGATACTTTTTGAAATGTCATGAAGCCTAGGTCAAATTAGAACCTTATTGCACTCGTTTTAATGCAGCGCTTACAGCAGCTTTTATAAAGCGCCAGAGCAGCCGATATTTTATTTTGGCGCTTACGGCAACTTTTATACAGCGCTAGAACAGTTGATGTTTTGATGTAGCGTTTACGGCAGCCTTTATACAGCGCCATTATTTAATCTGTTCTAAGAACAATATGTATGCCCCTTGTGCTCCTTTGGGCCATTTTTTCTTGAACACTTCCATATCATTAGAGTAATACCATTCCGATTTTGTGTCGGCTCTCAACATACACGTGTAGTGACCACGATTCATTTCTTCACCTTCGTGAAATATAGCGCTTATTACCTTGTACTTTTTTTTATTAATCGTGATATTACTCGTCGGCACGGCGTTAATCCGATTGTTGATAATTTTTTTGGAAGCACCGTTTACAAAAGTATATAAATTGAGCTGTATTACTACGACGGATAAAGTTGATTCGATTACGGTTTTCCTTTTCAACACGGTACCCTTACATTCGTTACAATTGCCGTTTATCGTTTCCCATTTAGAAAATTCTACATTAATCAAACTTTGTAGAGTGACACCTTTTTTCCTTTTTAATGTCGAATGTATAGGTAATATTAACAAACTACTGCTTTCCAGCTTAGTTACATTGTAATTACATTTGACATTCGAGCAACATGTTACGTGCTTTAATTCGAGTTCTAATACATCATTGATGTCGGAATACGTCGACATTAGAGCCGTAAAAAATTCCGAAACATCTTGTTGTGTTCGTTCTTCGAAGCGTTTTCCGACAGATCTTCTAACCGCTTGAATGTTGCAATATTTACGTTCACCATACGCGCAGATAGCATCAGTCAATGCATTCGATGCTTTATTTTTCAGTATTTGTTGCCTAATACGTACGCAATGAAACGCGCATTGTAATATTACATTAGCGTAACACGAAACAGCATCGTTATTGCAAAGGCCATATATTTTCCACGTAACTATACTTTCTGGTTCCTCACAATCATAATTCTGCACATCATCAATGATATTAGGGATAGCCCATCGACGATCGTACATTTTCACAACCTTTTTCTCGGACGGATTGATTTGTGGCAGTTCAGATTTGAATATAGATCTCAGTCGATTATATTCTACAATGGCTCTCGAGTTTGCTTTAACTGATGCTGGATTGAAATTTATCAAATGTAGGCCTTCCAATTTACTTACTCGTGACAAACCTACATAGGCTTGACCATCACTGAATACAGTCGTTCCTAAATCCATCATTGCATTGTTACATGTAATTCCTTGACTTTTGTGTATAGTTATTCCATAACTGAGAGACAATGGAAATTGTTTCCGATGTACCACTAATTTGTGGAATACTTCAAATTTAATATCTACTTTCGTTATTGCGATTTCTTTGTTATCCGAAATAACTATTTTGATGGAATCAATACGATTGCCGTCAGCAGAACGATTAACTGCAACTACATTGCCTATCGTTCCATTGACAAGTCCCAAAGTTACGTCAATGTTTCGTCGAATCATCACTTTAGCGCCAATTTTAATCGCTATTACTCTTTCAATGCCAGCTGTTTCAGACACTTTATCATCTTTGTCTTCCAAAATTTTATGCACCTTTTTTTTCATTGCTGGAGCACAGTCGACATCATCTTCTGCTATCAGCAGAATTTCATCGCTGTCGATTTTATCGAGCATTGCTGTGTTCAAAACCTTGCACAAATAACACGTGGGCAATAAACAAATTGTATCAATCGGTAATTGATTCATATAATTGCAAAGTTCATTCAATCTTTTGTCGCAACTACTTTCTTTAAAATTGATTTTTCTAGACTGAAGAACATTGATGTCAGAATCCGTTACTAAACCTATTCGTATTCTAGAAAGTATATCACGATATGTATTGTCGCATCTTTGTCGCATATTAATCAAAAGTTCGTCGTACTCGAACAATCTCCACAAATCACATCCACCCATGGTACCTAAATACTTCTGAATCTCTGATCGAGACATTTTAACAAACGAAAATTGTCCTTTTACAGGAGGAAGCTGCAACAAGTCCCCAAACAGGAGAATGTGTTTTCTGCCAAAGAAACCATCATCTGTATCTGTCGTATCAAAGATTTCACATAATCGTAGATTGATAAACATAAGTGTCACATTTGAAATCATGGATACTTCATCGATTATAAATAATTCGACATTCTTTAATTTGTCTCTCAAAGTTTTCAAGACCATGTCTGACAATTGCGTATATTTTGGTGTAGATTCATGACTAACGGGTAGTTGAAACATTCTATGGATTGTCAAGCCATCGATATTGAATGCTGCGATACCCGTGGGAGCAGATATGGCAGTCGTTTTTTCCAAATTTATTCTGATCCAATGTTTAATCGTTTCAATTAGAAAACTTTTCCCTGTACCACCCTCGCCACTTACGTACAGTCGCAGAATCTGATTCTTATCTTGTAAAACTTCGCATACTCCATCAAAGACTCTTTTCTGGTCTTCGTTCAATTGCGACATCATTTGCGATAAATCAATCGGGTCGTCAATCTTACCAAAATCTTCCAGATCTTTCATCGCGTCGTCAGCTTCTATCGGATTACAATCCAGTTCATCGTCATCGGATTTGTCTCTGTCTGCTGTTTTCAGATCATTTTCGCGCTTCTCGATTAATTCAGCAACGTTCTCAAAAGCTTTCTGTATTTCTTCGAGCCTTTCGTGATATTTCATTGCCTTCGTTAAAACAGATATATATATATATATATATATATATATATGTATACAGGGTAATAATTCGAAAACAAATAAAAAATAGCAAAAGATGCAATTAAAAAAAAAGAAATTATAAGAATTATAGACGATATACACATATATAAGAATTATAGACGATATACACATATAGAAATAAGGGGAATAATAAAAAGAATAAAAATATCGCGTAAAAGTGAAATATAATTATTAAAACAATAAGTTGTAAGAATAAGATAATCACAAAGAGAATATTTAACAGGGTATTTTACATCTTTAACACATTATTTTGCATGAACGTAAGTATCTCATAAAATATTAATTTTTCGTCGATCTTGTTTCAAAAATTTTGTATATAAAATATTGAGAAAAATCAAAATTTTTGAAAAAAACTATATAGTTTATAAATTTATATATCAATATAGTTAGAAGCAAAATCGTCTCCCAATTATCTCAAGAATCTTCCATTAACAGGTTTACTACTAATTCTGTGATATCCTGCATATATATTCTGCATATGTACAATATAAATTTAAATATTAATTAAAGAATATAGATATACGTATCAACACACGGACATAAGCGCGCGTGAGTGTGTGTGTGTGTGTGTGTGTGTGTGTGTGTGTGTGTGTGTGTCTGTACTATTATAAAATTAATATTTAATTATAATCCAAATATATAAAGAATTAATTATCTTATAACTTTACACATTAACTTCATCAACATATTCACAAATTTATTTATAATAAATATTTTGATACGTACAATATAAAATCATTACCTGATTAAAGCAGCGATTATTTCGTCGCACCGAAAATTGTCGAAAACATCGATGATATGAACACGCGGCCAAGAACAACACGTGTGAAACGCGTGGCATCGAGCATATTATTCTAAATACAAGCCGTACGATTACGCACCCCTGTCGCGCAGCCTGTGGTCTAATCAGTTTGTGGTCGTGAGAAGACTGACATCTCAGCAACTAACTTCGGTAAGTCCTATACATATAAGATTCTGTAAACTATCGTTCTAACATCATCATCGTCTATAATGAAATGTAGAATCAGTTAATTAGTAGTCAGCAATTAAGTTCGTTTATTATTAATTAATAATTTATTTCGCGAGAACGACTAGCATTAAGCGACGGAACATTGTCATTTTTATGAACTTTTCGGGATCTTTTCGTGAATTTTTGAGATATTCGCATCTTATTTATTGATTCCATGATTATAATTATGATTTTACATATAGTTTTGCAATAGATATATTTCGGACGTACTTTAATATTACTCTTGTCGTTCGCGCATAAAAACTTGTTTACGCGCATCGACTCGTTATATCAGGTGTTCGAAATATCCAGATCTTATTTCATTTTATTATAATTCCAGATATACTCAAACACCGAAATGGCAGATGTAAGTATATTATTTTTCATTATCATTATAAAATACTATTATTTTTTATTATAAAAAACTAATACTCTTTATACATTTCAGATACAGATGAATGAAGCCGACCACATCGCCGCCGAGCCCGTGGCCGCCGGCCCCGTCGCCGCCGGCCCCGTTGCCGCCGACTATCATAGAGGTTAGTTAAATTTTAATTTAATTAAATTGATATAAGCTAGATTAATCGAAGATCGTTTAATTAACAATTAATATGATCGAAGTCAATTAAAGATTATTTAATTGACAATTGATATAAACGAAATTAATCGGAGAACGATCGACTAACAATTAATACAAGCTAATTTAATTAAAAGTTTTTTAATTAACGATTAATATGAGTTAATTTTAATTAGAAGTTCTTTAATTGACGATTGAAAAAAACAGATTCAATCGAAGACAATTCAATTGACAATTGATTTGAGCAGAAACAATTAAAAAATATTTAATTGACGATTAAATATAGCAAATTTAATGCGAATCTCTTCCATTAATGATTGACTTAAGAAAATCGATATAATTTCTCTATTTCCATTAATTAACAATGTGTAACGATTAATACAATTTAAATTTTAATCGAAGATGTTTGATTGATGATATTAATATGACTGAATTTAAATAATATATATCTTTTCCTTGATTCTAGCAAAGTTATTGTACGTAATAGTTACAATGTAAATAATAAATAATTTACGTTTTTTAAACCATATTTTTATTCAGAACATTTTCAATTCATTATACATTTTATTATATTTAATTTAATTATATTTAATGTTAATATATATTTCTCAAATTTTTTTTCATTTGTTCTAAAATAATAAATGTATAATATGTTATAATAAAATGTGTTGTACATATATACAATATATATTATAATTCAAAATTATTAATCAAATGTAAATATTGCAGGAAGTTTGGTAATACAACGAAGTGTAACCATACAGTTTCCTTCTGGAGAACATTTCTGCATTCAACTAGGTAACCATTTCACAATGTTTTTACATATTACATTCAAATTGTGTTTATTTATTATAAATAAATTATTAGAGAAAAATATTGAAAAATATTGAATAACATAATTAGAATACGTTGTATATAAATATGTATATAAATGGTCTTGTTTTAAAATTGTATTATTATTTAAATGCTTAGAATGTATTATATATATTTTGTTATTATCTATTTATTTATATATTTATTTTTTTTTTATATTGAAAAGATTCATTTTTCTTTTTCCTTTTTTTAAATTAATAAATTTTATTAAATATTTGTTTGCCAATTAAACAAAAATGTAATCGTACACCAGCAATTACTTTTCAAAATATTATTTTTCTTGTGTGTGAATAGTTTTATATATAATATCTGGAATGCAAATATATATTGTTAATAATAATAGTTTTGTTGCATATCTATTATTCATATAATTTGGAAATAATATAATTTAATAATTAAAAATTGCAAACAGAGTAATATATTTACATATTTATATTTATTATATTATATCTGCATATATTCATATTGATGAGATAATTGCTTATTATATAAAATCATGTGCGTGATAATTAAATATTTTCTATGCAATCAAATTAATAAGGAATATAATGATTTAATATAATTATATTCTAAATCTGTTGGTGAAAACGTTACGTGTAACAAATATATACAATTAAAGTTATTATATTAAAATTTTATTATTTTTGTAAAATATCATTTACTTTGTAGAATACTTGAAAATATTACAATTCTATTTCTTAATAATAAATTAATTAAATTTAATAAAGGAAATAAAACATTTTATCGTGTTCTGATATTGGACTTATTAACCATAGCGTGTAATTAAATATTATAGGTCTACGCTTATTGTGATAAAGCTCTTTGATTGTTAATTGACGGAAATATAACCTAAGAGCTTTGGACATTCACATTCCACAGTAATCAAAGAGTTAGGATTATCAATTTTCTTTAAGGTAACGTATTGATAGTTTGTTCATTACTTGTCATAATGCAAATACAATTTGACTTTATCACTTTATAATTATTAAAAATCGTTTTAGAGTGAATCTTGTGTAACAACCTTTTTTTGGTTTTCTTCGGAATTTTTTATAAAGAACTCATAAATGTTTTGTATATGTAGAAAAAATTTTATTTTAAAAAAGGTAAAAAAAGTTGTTAAGTCCGCGTCAAAAACTATATCTCCAAAATCTTACAGAATCTTAAAACATATCTAAAAATTGCGCTAAGCAAAAATAAAACCTTATTAAAATATTTTAATTTAAAAAAGTTGCACAAAATAGTTGTTTTAATTTCTTATAAAAATAATGAATTTAAAATACATACTGACATTAAAACTTGGGACAAAAAAGATATAAACATTACAAACTTGCGACAAGAAGAAATAAAAAAAACATTAAAAATTTGCGAAAGAAAGTAGAACAATTTAATTTAAAAACTTAGCACTGCTAAGCTAAACAATAATTTAACAATTGTAATTGTTGTATTATACTATACAATTGAAATTTTAATTGAAGTAATATGCAATAATGACATTAGCAATGCTAAGTTTTTAAATTAATTTTTTTTGTCGCAAGTCTTTAATGTTTATATTTTTGTTATCGCAAGTTTTTAATGTCATTATATAATTTAAATACATTATTTTTCAGATATGTTTTAAGATTCTGTAAGATTTTGAAGATATAGTTTTTGACGCGGACTTAACATCTTTTTTTACCTTTTTTAAAATGAAATTTTTTGTACATATACATTTATGAGTTCTTTATAAAAAATTCCGAAGAAAACCAAAAAAAGCTTGTTACACAAGATTCACTCTAAAACGATTTTTAATAATTATAAAGTGATAAAGTCAAATTGTATTTGCATTATGACAAGTAATGAACAAACTATCAATACGTTACCTTAAAGAAAATTGATAATCCTAACTCTTTGATTACTGTGGAATGTGAATGCCCAAAGCTCTTAGGTTATATTTCCCTCAATTAACAATCAAATAGCTTTATCACAATAAGCGTAGACCTATAATATTTAATTACACGCTATGGTTAATAAGTCCAATATCAGAACACGCGATAAAATGTTTTATTTCCTTTATTAAATTTAATTAATTTATTATTAAGAAATAGAATTGTAATATTTTCAAGTATTCTACAAAGTAAATGATATTTTACAAAAATAATAAAATTTTAATAACTTTAATTGTATATATTTGTTACACGTAACGTTTTCACCAACAGATTTAGAATATAATCATGTTAAATCATTATATTCCTTATTAATTTGATTGCATAGAAAATATTTAATTATCACGCACATGATTTTATATAATAAACAATTATCTCATCAATATGAATATGTGCAGATATAATATAATAAATATAAATATGTGAATATATTAGTCTGTTTGCAATTTTTAATTATTAAATTATATTATTTCCAAATTATATGCATAATAGATATGCAACAAAACTATTATTATTAACAATATATATTTGCAATCCAGATATTATATGAAACTATTCACACACAAGAAAAATAATATTTTGAAAAGTAATTGCTGGTGTACGATTACATTTTTGTTTAATTGGCAAACAAATATTTAATAAAATTTATTAATTTAAAAAAAGGAAAAAGAAAAATGAATCTTTTCAATATAAAAAAAATATAAATATATAAATAAATACATAATAACAAAATATATACATTCTAAGCATTTAAATAATAATACAATTTTAAAACAAGACCATTTAAATAAATATTTATATACAGCGTATTCTAATTATGTTATTCAATATTTTTCAATCTTTCTCTCTAATAATTTATTTATAATAAATAAAAAAATTTGAATGTAATATGTAAAAACATTGTGAAATGGTTACCTAGTTGAATGCAGAAATGTTCTCCAGAAGGAAACTGTATGGTTACACTTCGTTGTATTACCAAACTTCCTGCAATATTTACATTTGATTAATAATTTTGAATTATAATATATATTGTATATATATATGTACAACACATTTTATTATAACATATTATACATTTATTATTTTAGAACAAATGAAAAAAAATTCGAGAAATATATATTAACATTAAATATAATTAAATTAAATATAATAAAATGTATAATGAGAGAGAGAGAGAGAGAATTGAAAATGTTCTGAATAAAAATATGGTTTAAAAAACGTAAATTATTTATTATTTATATTGTAACTATTACGTACAATAACTTTGCTAGAACCAAGGAAAAGATATATATTATTGAAATTCAGTCATATTAATATCATCAATCAAACATCTTCGATTAAAATTTAAATTGTATTAATCGTTACACATGTTAATTAATGGAAATAAAGAAATTATATCGATTTTCTTAAGTCAATCATTAATGGAAGAGATTTGCATTAAATTTGCTATATTTAATCGTCAATTAAATATTTTTTAATTGTTTCTACTCAAATCAATTGTCAATTGAATTGTCTTCGATTGAATCTGTTTTTTTCAATCGTCAATTAAAGTACATCTAATTAAAATTAACTCATATCAATCGTTAATTAAAAAACTTTTAATTAAATTAGCTTGTATTAATTGTTAATCGATCGTTCTCCGATTAATTTCGTTTATATCAATTGTCAATTAAATAATCTTTAATTGACTTCGATCATATTAATTGTTAATTAAACGATCTTCGATTAATCTAGTTTATATCAATCGTCATTGTAACGAAATCTATTTAATCTTTCTAAAATTAATCGTCAATTAAAAATATTTTAATTGAATCTGTTCATATCATTTGTTCAATTATAAAAAATTTAATTGATATTTTGTCATCTCTGATACCCAGTAAACACGAAGGGATCATTTACGAAACAATTACATAATAATCTATATATGTATATGTTATAGATCGGCGAAACAAAACAATGACGTATCATTTATGTCAATAACGTAATGAATTTGTTATGCAATTTTGGTGTTATTTTGTTATGTAACATTTATGTATTTTGGTTAATATAAATGTGTATACTCTAAAAGTTTCGTAAATACTACGTAATTTTAATGACATAATTGTAACGTTATGTTAAATACGTAACATTTATGTATTTTGGTTAATGTAAATGTGTATATCCTAAAAGTTTCGTAAATGCTACATAATTCTAATAACTAATTGCAACGTTATATTAAATACGTAACAATATTTTGTTGACATCAATGTATACATTCTGTAAAAACTTTACATACATCATTACATACAGTATAATAACAAAATTGCGATATTTTTTTTATTTAATGTGACATCGCAATTTCGTTATTATAATTATATAATAGTTATAATAAGGTTCTTACAGAATATATACATTGATATCAACAAAATAATATTAATGTTACATATTTAACAGAACGTTACAATTATGTCATTAAAATTACGTAGTATTTACGAAACTTTTAGAGTATACACATTTACATTAACCAAAATACATAAATACATAAAGTAACGCCAAAATTACATAACAATTTTATGTAACAATTATAGATTCATTACGTTATTGACATAAACGATACGTCACAGTTATGCAATAATTGCTAATTTCTTCTTTAACCGTTACGCGGTGTACGATTCTCTATCTATCTCGGATTCAAATTTCAGTCAGGAAAGTTTAAAATTGATGAAATTGATGGTAACATCTGTGATAATATGGAATTAAATTTTCTCATGTTGAGATCATGTCCCAAAGAATAATGAGATTATCATAATGATAAGTATCAATTAATTATTAAATTTAATAATTAATTACATTATATATTGATTAAAAATAAATATTACATTTACTATCTCATTAACTAATTTTTCATATTTATCTAACTCATTTATTTTTTAATCAATATATAATTTAATTAATTATTAAATTTAATAAACATTTAAATTATAATATATATGGATTAAAAAATAAAATTATATATTAATAAATAATTAATAAATATTTTCTTAAATATTATAATAATGATTAATATATAATATATTTAAATATATTAATAATTAATACTCTATTTCTCTATATATAAATATTTTATTATTTTAATAAATAATTAATTATTAATTAAATAAATGATTTATAATAAATTTATAATAGTTATTAAATATATTCTAATTAATAAAATATTTATATATTTTATATAAATATTAACCTTATATTATTATAACATTTTATTATAAAATATTATACATTTATTATTTTATACCATACCTAGATATACCTAATTATACCATATTATCTAATTACTAAAATAATTTCTTTTTTAATTACAGTTTACAGAGGAAGACGCGCCGGGGTTCGCGTCCAGGAGGAGCGCTTTATGCGCTTCCTCCTAAAATTATCCTCGCCCTATTATTATTGGGGCAACAGGCCGAGGAGAGGCGGAAGAGAAGGCGGACGAGGACGGGGACGGCGAAACGCCGAATAATATGTAATAATATACATAATAATATACATATATACATATATTACATTGTTACATATATACATAAATAAATAAATATACATATATATACATTCTTCATTTTATTTAAATAAAAACCCTACAGATAGAACTTTATAACCCTAACATATTATGAATTGTTAAATAAATCGCAAAACATTATTGATACTATAATTATTTAATGAATAACATTATTGATAATAATAAGAGAAACAATAGAAAATGGTATTGTGATTGTGATTGAAACAAACATTCTTTCTAAACAGAGTTCGATTATAGTATAAGTTTCTTGATTTAAAATGTACTATATTTAAATCATTTAATTATTTTTTTCGTTCAAGTACATTTAACAGGAAAAACTGCATATACGTAGGTATGTATTTAACTCTACTGCCATTACTTGAAACAAATACATTATTCGACATTAACAAATTGGAACTCTGGAATTACGAGTAATTATTTTTTATTGTACAGACTAGGTTTAAATTTTTGAGGACCTTCTTTTGAACATGGCTTGACCTTTTCATTTTTATGATTTTTTGGAGATAGGGTGAGAGAGGACGAATGAGGGTAAGAGAAGACGAGATAGGCGAAAGAGGGTGAAAGAGGACGAAATTGGGTGAAAGAGGGCGAAAGAAGACGAAAGAGGACGAAAGAGAGTGAAAGAGGACGAAAGAGGGTGAGAGAGAATGAAAGAGAGTGAGAGAGGACAAAGGAGAGTGAAAGAGGACGAAAGAGGGTGAGAGAGATCGAAAGAGGGTGAGAGAGAATGAAAGAGAGTGAGAGAGGACAAAGGAGAGTGAAAGAGGACGAAAGAGGGTGAAAGAAGGTGAAAGAGGCGAAAGAGGGTGAAAGAGGACGAAAGAGGGTGAAAGAGAACGAAAGAGGGTGAGAGAGGACAAAAGAGGGTGAAAGAGGACGAAAGGGGGTGAGAGGAAATGAAAGAGGGTGAAAGAGGGTGAGAGAGAATGAAAGAGGGTGAGAGAGGACGAAAGATGGTGAAAGAGGCGAAAGATGGTGAAGAGAAAGATGCGAAAGATGAAAGAGGGTGAAAGAGGAAAGAAAGAAGGTGAAAGAGGGTGAAAGAGGACGAAAGAAGAAAGTGAAAGAGGCGAAAGAGGGTGAAAGAGGACGAAAGAGGGTGAAAGAGAACGAAAGAGGGTGAGAGAGGACAAAAGAGGGCGAGAGGAAATGAAAGAGGGTGAAAGAGGACGAAAGAGGGTGAAAGAGGACGAAAGGGGGTGAAAGAGGACGAAAGAGGGTGAAAGAGGACGAAAGGGGGTGAAAGAGGGTGAGAGAAAATGAAAGAGGGTGAGAGAGGGCGAAAGAGGGTGAAAGAGGGCGAAAGAGGGTGAAACATGGTGAAAGAGGACGAAAGAGGACGAAAGAGAGTGAAAGAGGCGAAAGAGGGTGAAAGAGGACGAAAGAGGGTGAAAGAGGACGGAAGAGGGTGAGAGAGGACAAAAGAGGGTGAAAGAGGCGAAAGATGGTGAAAGAGGACGAAAGAGGACGAAAGGGGGTGAAAGAGGACGAAAGAGGTGAAAGAGGGTGAAAGAGGGTGAAAGAGGGTGACAAAAGAGGGTGAAGAGGCGTGAAAGAGGACGAAAGAGGACGAAAGGGGGTGAAAGAGGACGAAAGAGGGTGAAAGAGGGTGAAAGGGGTGAAAGAGGGTGAAAGAGGGTGTGAGAGAGGACGAAAGAGGGTGAAAGAGGAAAGAGGTGGTGAAAGAGGGGAGAGAGAGAAAGAGGGAAAGAGGCAAAAGAGGGGAGGAGGAAAGAGGGTGAGTGAAAGAACGAAAGAGGTTGAAAGAGGACGGTGAATGTGAGGGGGTTGGTTGTGTGGGTGTGTGGGGCGTGGGGAGTGGTGTTGAGGGAGGTGTGAGTGAAAGGTGAGAAGAGATTTATATATATATATATAATCCTGATGACGTCAGCGGACAGAGAAGAAGAAGAAGACGACGTTTCTTAATTTTTCATGAAAAACGTCACTTTTTGACCGCTTGTATCTCCGGAACGGCTTGACCGATTTTATTTTTTCTTGGCTCAAATTACTCGTGGCGATGCCGCCTTTCAGGTTATATTACGTGCATTTCAAAATTTTTTATATTTTAGTAGTTCTACACCCCCAAAAAATGGACTTTGATGGTGCAGGATAAGGAGACTTGTAGTGTCTTTTAAGGTCTTTTAGGGTTTGAACATGGCCGGAGACACTACCGCGTCTCCTAATTTATTCTATAAATTTTGAATATAAAGAATATAAAAATGTAAAATCTTCATCAGCAAATATTATTGCCATTGAAGAAATTGAAGAAAAAGAGGGTGGTGACTTTCTTATAGAGTTATACAGAGAGAGAAAATATTTATACGACAAAAGTAATCGCGATTTTAAGAATAAAATCATAAGAGGAAATGCTTGGGTTGAAATTTCCAATACTTCCGGGACTGATTGCAGCCTTGGCGCAATCAAAATTCAACGGCTAATTAATAGCGCACTGGTCATCCAACGGGATGAAGACGCGACGAGTTCACTTTTGCGGATAAGCTGCTACGAACTTTATACTAATATCAACGATAAGTGAACCAACTGATTTCGGAGACGGCCTCGTGCGTAATGCGTGGCCGGGTCATTCTTTCTCAATCCGAAAACGGAAATCCTCTCGGGTTTAAGGGCTGGCCAATGAGCGAATGCCAACGCGATAGATCAATCGAGGTATTGGTTGATTTCCGATCAGGCGTATTTGGTCAGGAACATCGATTCGGAACGCACGATTTATTTCTTGGTTTCGTGTGTTATTCAGGGATAGCGCCAGACTGATAGAAAATCGATTCCGAATTCGCGCGAGGGTTTTCGCAACATGCTTATCGCACGTGTCACGTGATTCAAGTGCGTAGGTACACGATCATAATGAAACATTACTTGTTAATTTATAATTATAATTTATAATTATAAAGTTATTAATAATGGATAATAATTGCAGGATTTAAAAAATAAATAAATATGGTGCCATGGAAAGAGGCTTGTAATGGGGTAATAACAAGAGGTCCTGAAGGATGAACCTATGTGGCAGGAAGGCACCCAGCCTATACAACGCATATATAGCCAGAATATATACACCAGTGTATTGAACGCAGCTCTTATAGACCATGTGCGTGTCAAACGCTGAAGATAGGAATGCTGATGAAGAATCTCGCTTGAACTTAATCCCGGAAAACATGGTTACGCCGGCTTCCATAGCCGAGTATATAAAAATGGTTACGAATAGTACCACTCCGCAAGGAGACATGGTCAAAGTAAACATACCTGATATTGGAGTTCCACAGGGTAGTATCGCACCTAGTAGAGATATTCCAGATAACTGACAACTTAAGGAATCCTGATAATCGTGTCTTTGCTTTGAACGGAATGAGATCCGAATTATTCAGCAATGTATTTAAGTCACATGTAGTGGTAACCAGATCATAGTCTTTACGGAGTTGTTTGATTGTGCATAAGAATGCGTTTTAGTAAAATTAATTTCATGTCTTTCCAATTATTATAGATTTCAAACATTATTATTTTTTACGAAATTATGTACCGAGGAAGACTGTCGTAATAGTCGAAACGTATACGTTTTATTTATTTTATTTTATGTCAATACATTAATTATTTTATACACCTAAATAATTTGCTCGTTTTTAAGTTGGTCTATTTATGTATGTTCTTCTTTATTAGAAAATAAAATTAAATCATTTAGATTAACGGTATTTTATAATAATATTGACAAATACAGAATTTTAAAAGATAATGTAATGTAATGTTTAAAAAATTTGACAATTGTGATATGCAAGGCGAAATCAACCGAGAATGAAAAAATATTGTATCAAATATATTGTAAGTAACCTTTTTTATTTAGCATCGAATTGAAATTTGTATTCAAATCCAGTAAAATATCTAATTAACAATAAACATTTTAATCATTTTTCAGAACGTTGAAAATAACCTAAAGATAATAAATAAACTTCGTGAGTAAAAGTGAGACCGGGTTGCGTTTAATAATTATTTATTTATATTTTAATAACTTTTCAGAGAAACCAAGAAAATCGTGGAAGAACCATGTCCTCCACAGATTATTGTCACCAACATGTCACATGTAAGTAATAAATAAGTAATAAATATAACAAAAACTTTGCATCCCCAGGTCGGGAATTAATTTTAATTTAGATATCAGGGAATTAATTGACCAATACTGGCTAAGGTAAATTATCTTTTATTGAAAAAGACGCAACGTTTCGACCGAACAAAGACAATATCTTGAATAAATAACACACTTAAAAAGAGAAATACAAGTCGACCGAGTAAAAAATTTTTATAAGCAAAAATATATAAACAAAAGGAGTTTTAAAATACTTAATATGTGATAAAAACAATTTATATATAAATTCTACTAGGATAAAAACAAAAGTAAAATAAAAATGAGAAAATTAAAAATTAATAAATTAAAAAACGATATCTAAAATAAATTCATAAAAACAAAAATAAAATAAAAATAAGAAATTAAAAATTAAAAATTAATAAAATAAATACCGATATCTAAAATAAATTCAAAATAGTATCATACATATCATTTAAGTTTTCTGTGTCTCTTTGCAAATTTATAGAATTTTTTGTTTTTTGATAAATTGATAATTATAAAAGAATAAATAGAGCAGGCGCGAAATAATCAAGAGCAGATCGCAGTGCTCAATAATTATTAAAGCATTGACGAGACGAAAAAAAATGTGCTCGACAATAGAGAAAGAAGACGCAAAGTCGTCAAGGGCAGAACGCAGTGCCCGACTATTATGAAAGAATAGAGGAAGAAGGCGCAAAATCATTAAGGGCAGAAGACAAAATTTTGCACTGCTCGATGATTATAAAAGAATAGAGAAAAATATATCATCAACAGAAATATCCACAAATGCGGAAAATTGTAATTTGTATTTAAATTTGTTTTAATAATTTTTCAGACAATTGTTACAAACTAAAGAAATATCTGAAATTAAAAATTGTTCTAATGTAAAAATTGAACTAATACCATCTGTTCAGATCTGACTTCAAAGTCGAATTATTTCAAACCGAGCGAACTAATTCGCTCTGTTTGACCTAAACCTCTCTTTATTTTGATACACATCTTAGCGCTGGGACAATTAGTTCCCGTGCATTACACGTGATGTGCCCATGTAAATGATTATCCGCTCGGCTCCGTTTCCCGTCAATAATATTCCAATTCTCGAAAATAATCGCGCGTAAGTCAGTCGAAGAGAGGCAATCAAAACGTGCGTGTCGTTAGTCAGCATCGTCCTGTTAATTCGATAGCAACGTATCTCTGTTCGAGTTATACCTCTACGACGTCCACGTCTCTTTCAACGCGCTTTTCGTGTGATCCACGTCAGTGCAGCTAATAAAATACTATTGAATTAAAAGTGAGTGGATTCGTTCTTGACTAACAACGATACTATCCCTTCGTCTCCGTTTTACAATAATTTCAGTCAATCGGCCGGCGTATTAAAATAATATTAAATATGTTTCCACGTCTTTAAGAGGAAGTGCGCGAACACCATCATTGTCCTACATTTCATCATGGACAATGAGTAAAATGGTAAGTGATCTGTTACGTCTTGTGGACTCCACAATTTTTTTCTTTCTCACGACCAGAGCGGAAGTTTGTTCTTAGATAATAAAAAATAGCAAGAAATAATAATCCGAGTGGCACGTACGACAAAATCGCAAATGTGCCTCCACAGCCGGATATATCGGAAGATCTAGCAAATATTATAAATTGTTAAGACATGAAGACGAGGCGAAAAGTGCCAAAAGCAAAAGAAAATAAATATATATTTTGATATCTACAAAACTTGTAAATAAGACATCCTCGCCAAACCATAAATCGGCGGCCCCATCAATAAAAAAAAAACATAACTAATAACCGCCGAACCGCCTAATGCATTTATGTGGGGAAACATGGGAGTACTTAGATCAATTCGACGTGATAGGACTGACGGAGACGTGGATAGAAGAAAGCTGGAAGAAATTAAAAAACAAGATGTCGAACAAATTTCATTGGATGTGTATAGCAGCAAGGAGAGAGAACAAAAAAGGAAGAGCGAAAGGAGGTATAATTGTAGCGGCAAACAAGAATCTAAAAGAAATAGAAGTTTAAAGAAATGAGCTACAGAGCAGCGGAGGTAAAAATAGAGCATGATAGAAACAGATGGAGAATAATTACATTATTAGGGGAAGGGACTCAGAAAAATTGTAAGGTCGCAAAATAGCCAGGCGAGGAAAGAGAGGATCCATTTTCCATAGGTTTTGTGCGGGGTCCTTTTAAATATAGAAATATATATATATATATATATATATATAATTGATTAAATATACCGAAAAGTATCACACTTTATTATTTGATTCCATATATTTATGATTACGAATTGGAAATGAAAGAAAAGTAATAAATGGATTGGATGACGATTTTTGAATGTATATAATCCAAATTATAGAAAATTGTCATATTTCATTCTATCATACTATATAGACTATTATAGACAATTCATACGCGCGCGCCCATTGTCCACTTTTATATAATTTTATTTAATTTTGTTTTGATATATAATTGTCAAGTAAGTTTGTAGCCATTAAACATCATCAACTTCTTTAATTTAATTTAAATTCATATTCTGAGGTTTTATGTGTTCTATATTTTTAGTCTATTTTTCGTTATAGAAAGTATTATGTTTTATATAATTTCAGATTAAAACCTTCTGCAACGACATATAAAGACTTAAAAGGAATGGAATTTTCTCAGGTCAATATTACGATATAATATCATTATTCTTGATTTTCAAGACAGCAGTAGCTACAATTAGTGATGGATAATACCGCTCAAGATCAAGTACAACCGCAACGGAGACCCCAAAATGCCGTCGGAGTCCGGCAAGGACAACGGGACAATCGTCGTATGCAGGAGTATGTGCTTGAAAAGAACTGGAGAGCTAATAAAGACTGGAATTCGCAAGTTGAGCTTGAAGCCAGCATGGCGAGCCGTCCAGCTCAATCCGTCAATCCGCAAAGACAACAACAAAATAGGACCCGAGCGCAACAATGGCGGAAAAAGAAAAACCAGGAGAGCAGGCAGAAATCTACCGCCGCACCGGTTGATTTTTCCAAGTATAAGGCGAGCACCGAAACTGGAGCGAGCGACGAGCCGCTATATACGATTTAATGGCTGGGTCAAGGCCCGTTAAACGTATTTACGTACAGAATGGTGATTTTTCCGGGTTCCTATTACTTTGCGAAACAGTACACAGGGATTTAAAGCAGGCTAATCCGCGTATAAAAAGGGAACTTCCATTCTGCGTTTTCCTTCACTCAATGACGTCATGGCCTTAACGCCTGGCTTATCCAAAATGTAACGAAAGTCAATTTGGAGGACCGATTGGAGGGGAGACTGACGCTATGTCCCTAATCCCAAATGAGATGCTTATACCTCAACCAATAGCGGAGTATTTTTCGATGTTAAACACAGTGGTCACACCATCGGGGGATACAATACGTCTCAACGTTTCGGAGGCTGGCGTTCCTAGATTCTCAGTACGTGCTGAGGAAGGTCGGGAAAGGATATCTCCTGGCAGTTTTGGCGATGTGTCAGCCGCTAACCACAATGAGTCTTACATCGCTCCGTATATTACACGGCGTTTTATTGAAGCAAGCGTAGCTGAAGAAGATAATTATAATCCCCTTCCACCAGGAAGATTTCCAGCAAACGCAACGCCAACAAGAAATTTACTGGGATATTACCCATATGAGCGTTTGGCACCTGAGAAGAGAGCTATTTTAGCTAATTGTAATTTCCCGGAAACGGATGATATGGTGGGAAGACTTCAAATCGTACCGGCTATGTTAATCGAAACTAGTAATGCACTTTTACGATGTAGCAAGGAGTATAGGATGGTGAAGTTTCATGAGGTACAACGCAAACTTGTACCAACACCAACCATTTATTCAAGATTAAAAATATAGAAAAAGGTATAAAATCTGTGAAAGATATGCGGCATTATGTATCTATGAGGAATATTTTTACTGTGACGGCCTTCGTATCATCAATAATATCACGAAATATTTTGATTTAATTCATTCATCCGTTCGGAAAAATACCCTCTAAATTTATTTATCATTTTTAACTCACAATGCAAATTGAGCCGCGTCTAGACAGCGTCGCAGAAAATAGGTACCAATATATATGTTTTGATGAGATTAAATCTCCATACGAAGAACTGGGAATTTACTTATAGAGCCCACCCTAACTGTGAGAGAGTAGATGGGTATGCCTATCTATTGGAAAACA